CCTTTAAAAAGTAGTCTTCTGAAGGGATTTGCAGGATTTTTATTTTGTGTAATTACCTATCTAGAAAGAAAAAGAGGAGGTTTACTGCTGACAAGATACCTCCAGATGGTTTTGAAGAGTTTAGCAGGAGTCCAAGACAAATTCCAGTAATTCCCTTAGATGGGGCTTTAATATTCTAAGACCCAGGTTGCTTTGTCAGAACAGTCAACTAAAATTGACAAATTTTCTATTGATGTCTGAGAGAGAGGATAAGAACTTTTATATATTTCTTGTATTATATGGCTTTCATAACAATTTCTGTACATTAAAAAAAAAAAAGTTGTTTTTATCAGGTGATTGATAGTGTCTGTTCCAGACAGACACGTGCTTGCTTTGCTACCACCCTGAGCTAGTCAGAAGACAATTTAAGATAGTGCTGATTGTCAGGCAATGACAAACAGGCCTCAAAAGAGCTTGGGCTCAGTGGTGTACTACAATTTTATATTTTATTTTTTCAATTTTTCAACAGTATGTTGTTAACATCTGTGCTAGTTTTATCCTTCATTTTATCCTGCTAATTTAGTAGCACTAAGCTCACCTCATGCCTTTTGGTTTTTTTTTTAATTCTTACAAAATTGAATGAAAGTTAAAATATTTTAATCCTCAAAGCAAGAGATATGCAGAACTATCATTCTCTGATTATAACACTCAGTTGTTCCAGGTCAGCCAGGCTCAGTAGCAGATAGGACTGTGGTGCTGCTGATATTCCCTCATCTCACATGTCAAACTGCATAAACAAATATTGAAGTATTAAACCAGCCATGTGACTTGCCTATAAAACACAGTAAGAAAATAAGTTGTTTACACTTGATGCCTTTCCAGCCACGAGGTTGTCCTTACTCTTTATAGCCTGGCATATTTTAATTCATAGCACAACAAGGGAGAAGGAGGACACAGTAAAAGTGGTTGTGAAAAATTTGTTGGCAAGAGTTTCCATGATTCAGGGGAAAAAAAAGAAAAAAGAGAAAATATAGGCTGAAACTCAGGAAACTTTTTTTAGTATTTTGACTTTGATAAGCTGTGGAAATACCTGCAAGGGATGGCAGCAGAAGTTCCATGGTTTTGAGCCACTGTGAAACTTAAAGGGTTGAAACACCATAAAATACACAACGGAGAACAGTAAGGTCTCAGCAGGGGAGGACCATAGAATATTCATTAAACTTTTTCTTCTTGAATTTCTAAATTTATGTTAGAATGTCTGGAACAACTTTAATCAAGTGGAGGGGTTTTTAATTTGTTCAGTTGAAAAATACTAGTATTTTTTGCAGTGATCTAGGTTGAATCAAATTAGTGCTAGAGCATGTGAAGAGATGAAGAATTACCATTTTATACACATTTGAGCAGAACTAATGTAGAAGTTCGGATGCAGTAGCAATTTTAAACACTTGGAAATGGGCAAACTGGAAAAATAAATAACTTGGAATATTTGGGGAAAAAAATGGGAAGTTCATTACTACAAGACACACCTAATATAATCATATTTTGTAGCAGTAGGAGTTTAAATTGCAATGAAATTTTTCTCCCAAACTTTCACATGCATATCTATATCTATATCTATATCTATATCTATATCTATATCTATCTGCTGCTAGTAACTCAATTACTTTGTTAATACCTGCTGCCTCAAACATGTGAGACAGGTGGACTAGAATTGGAGGTACAGATAGATCTTTTCTAAATTGTCAACAGAGTAAGGATTTTGAAAATCTGTAATTATAATTATGCTCAAAGATGATTCCTTTCTCACTAGGTTTCGGCAGCAGAGGCTGCTCAATGTGAGTGGTTTTAATATTTTTTTTTTTTAAAAAGCATTGCTGGTTTTCTGAGGAGACTCGTCTAACAGCCCTGTATTTAAGGGGAATAACATTGAGGTCATAGTCAAAAGTTTTCCACGTGTAGTGGAAAACCAGACCAAAGGCAGTATTATGGGCATAAATGATGAAGGAATCAGAACTGAAAAGGGTAGTGTAAGCCATCAGAAAAAGAATGGTTTTGGTGTGAATGGATTTCCTATTAAAGACTAAATCCTGTAGAACCGATGTGAAAAGCCAACTCTGCATAGAGATGACAAGCCCATATTTATGCAGCCTGTATTTGAAGAGTTGTAAAGAGTTTAATAACTTCCTTTTCAGATGTCTGTTCCATATTACAACTGTATAAATCCAGTAAGAATTCATTGCAGGACGTACTGAATAATAGCTTTACCAATTAAAAAGGTTCAACACATTTATCTGTATCTTTGGGAGGAGGAGTTCTGTTTCTGCAGGGTCAATCACAGGGTTTTGTACAGTCCTTCCTCATGATGCAAACTCTGTTTTTGTGGCGTCTGTACTTTTCAATGGATGAATTCAAGCTGTTTTTTTTCCTCTGGGTCATTATTTTCAGCATCATATTATTTGTGATGATTCAACTTGGTGTTTCATTTCCTGGGGCCAAGTATCTATGCCTGCTGCCAGTTTTCAGAAGTCTCCTTTGGCTCCTTGGCTCCTTGATGGGAGCTGACAGTTGCATCTTTTCCCTGATGAGTCATTGATTCTCCAGAGCCAAGAGTCTGACAAAAAGATGCTAGATTGTTTTAGTTTATTTACCATGAGTGCATTAAAACCCAAGAGGAAACAGATGCAAAGAGCCTGATTCTCTAGTTGCTAGCTGCGTAGAAACCAAATAAAATTTTGTGGGCTATTAAAGTCAGAATAGGTCGGGCACTTAAGTGCTGTCACATACATACAGACAATGCAATTTTTAGTTGAGCTGTTAATAAATCAAGCCTGGAGCACAACATCATATGTTATTCTCAGTAGGGAGGGATGAAACAGTCTAACCAAATATTTTACACAAATTAGGAAGGGCAGGTAAATAACATTTTTCCTATTCTCTCCCTAACCCTAAATCCCAAAATTTTCTGTTAATTTTTCTTCCTCTCTGACATCCTTACCAGTTCCCCACCCCTCCAATACAAAAAACGTGATGTAAATGCCATTTGCCTATGGAGAGTGGTTGCACCTGACAAAGGCTGGTGTTCAGCACGAGCCTATCTGCTGATCATCTTAATGCCTGTATGATTTCTAAAAATGTAACTGTTAATTCAGAATAGACTGAAATCAGATAAAAGTAGGTGAAATTCAGGTTGGATACTATTATAGTACGTTTTTATATATATATACACACTATATATATTGCATACTTTAACCTGATCACCCCATTTGTTGGTCATTAATAAATTACTTCCTCCCTACTAAACTTCTAGGTAAAAAAAAAATCATATTTAGAGAGAAAAAACAACACTGAAATGCTGTTATATCACTACAAATTATTTCCATCTTGCTTGCTTATTTTACAATTTTAAAAGTTTCTTATCATCAGATACCAGATATGTTGGTTTAGACTTGTGATGAATCTTTTCCCACTATAGTCTCACTTGACTATAAACCACACTGATGTGTACACATCTGCCACCAAGAATATCTTCAAAAGATTGCCTTAGAAACACCTAGGTAATCATGCACTTTGCAAACGTTCTCTGTGTTTACTGATTGTGCTGCATGAAAAAGTTTACAGTATATTTTCTTCTTAACTATTCTTGCTTTAAAACAATAGCCAAACACATGAGGCTTCTCGTGTTCACACCTAATTTCTCAGAATTTACAGTAAAATACCATATTAAATGTAATTAAAGCAGAAAAGTTTTGTATAAAAAGTGGCTTTAAGAATATAACTGACAACAGATTTGCTGAAGGAAAGTTCTATTTAATTTTATCTTAAAACTGCAGACCGTATTCCAATTTTCTTTTTACTTTTAAAGGCTGGGTTTTGATTTCTTGTTTGTTTGGTGTTTTTTTGTTTGTTTGGTTGGTTGGGTTTTTTTTGTGTTTTGTTGTTGTTTGTTTGTTTCGTTTTTTTCTTTTTTTCTTTTTTTTCAGTCAGGGACATTTATGTACCATAAATAATTGAAATCTTTATAAAAGTTTTATTCCAAAGACAGGCTTTGTTGACCTAGTGGGAAAACAAAATCAATTTTACTTTGTCCTGACAGAGTACATATTATTCAGTAAGAAATAAACTCAGTACATATTCTGAAGAAAAAAAGCTTAGCTTCTAATATTTAAAGAAATAACAGTCAGAGGTGGAGTGATCTCTGGGCACAGTCTTTCCATTAGATATTTGTCTCTGGTGCATACTGAAAATTAGAATCTGTTGAAATGTTTGCTGTAATCTATTAAATCATGTCAGTGAGAATAATAGAAGTCAAAACAGTTGGTTAAGCTTAACACTGAGTATCATTCCCTTGAAAACAAATTATATTGGAATTTACAATGACACTACAGCACTAAGCTGATGCTAAAAGTGAAACAACTTGCATTTAGAATACTACAAGTGGCCCTACCATGCACAATGTCATTAAATTGTTGTTTCATAAAGAACATTTTTCAAAGCACATTCATGGGCTGAAACAATCAATATTCCTTTTAATCCCAGGTGGGTATGCTGTTAACAACACTTTATTTTGCAGAATGCTTAACTAGTGTAACTTATTATTCAGCAAACAGATTTAATCTGGTTCCTAGGAGTGGGTTTTGCTTACGCTGGCCATTATACTGCAAAAATAATGGAGAACCCTGACATTTTTTGAGGATCAGAAGGTTTCAGAAAGCCACTGGGGTTTCATGATGCTCATGGCAGGGTGGTGGGGTGGTGACACGTCACATTCGCTGAGTCAGCTTCTTCCAGCATTGTCCTATAGTACAAAATTGTCATCCAAGTTCACCATAAGCAAATTTTTCCGTTTAGAGCTTATTTTTCTGGCTACAAGAACCCACTTTCACTCCACACCCACGTAATTTGAGTTTCACATTTCACTGTTTTCCTACTGAAGTTCCTGGTCTTACTTTTTCCCACATGGTAAGGGATGATGCCATCCTTCTTAAAGACCTGGATGCTTCATTCAGGCAAGTACTTAGAAATAAATTAGATGTTATTTCAATTTGAATCTTCTTTGGCTTCAGAGGAATTACACTGACTAATTATCTTGTTGTTATCTGGTCCAATTGCTTTACATCTTGCATTTTTTTCCTAACTAGCCAAATCATCATCTTGCTAGTTAATCAGCTTCAGAGGAGTTTGCTGATACTCATCTGGAGAAAATTCTGTGTTCATGATAATGTTTTGAAGTTGCTGTTTTCAAATATGAAAGAAATGTTACTGTGTGATGATGTTAATATATCTATTTTTAATGTAACGTGAGTTTCAGGAAATACACTGTGCTTTTCTTACAAAAGCACAGCCACAGAGTATGGGTGTGCTGTTGTGGAAAAGTGACTTTACTACTCTTAGAATGCTCTGGTTATCTATACTTAAAATTATATTGCATTTATGTGTGTGAAACCTTCCAGAGAGCACTTATCAAATTTTAATCTCACACATATTTGATTATGTACAATTCTGGAATGGAAGAAGGAGAAAACCAATTGACCGTGGATTTCTCCTTAATCCAAATCCTAAAAATTGGATTATTATTAAGGAAGCGTAAAAGTGATGGTACGTTCAGTTGTAGGACAATAAGAGAGTTCTTGAATAATCAAAGTGATCCATGGTTAGGCCACAGTATTTACGAATTTGACTTTTTTTCCACTTGAGTTGCATTTAGTTGATGTAAATGATGCAAAATCACAGTGTAGAAATTGATGTGACCAAAACAGATGGGGTGATCTGAGGGATGCAGAGTGGAATTTTACTGTCTTCAAATACATGGGCATTGTTCTTGGATACAATGCTAAGTCAAAGCTTGATATCACAGATAATATTGTCTAGAATTAGAAAACTTTTGAGGACCTAATATTTAATAGATCTGATAGGGTTTTTTTCTACCTTCTTCCTTCTTTTTTTTAAAAATATTATCTTATAGTTCTGAGGGTTTGTTTTGTGACTCATTGTGGTAAGATGGGTATTGGCTTTTTGTCTCCTCCTCCCTGCCCAGTGTGTCATACAAGGTAACATGAAGGAAAAGATAAGTGCATGTACAGTTTATATTACATTTAATTTAAAAATCCGATAAATGTCCTAACTTATGCAAATTGGTATGTGTTAGTATTTACAAAACAGTCGAGTGAAACCTGTGCAAATGGAATGCCCATGAGGCAATGTAATTTTCTGCTTGGGAGAGATGGCCTTGAAATGCTCAAGCTAAACTGGAATTGGAGGGGGGTGTTACTTTAAAGTGATCCTTAGAACAGAGTGCTACCACTTCCAGGTAACTTTTAATTGCAGGGTTTAACTTTGAACAAAACCACATTTAAATGGCAAAAGAGACCATCAAGTGTAATGCACTGTTTGTGATGCTTAAAGAGGAATGGAAGCCATGACCTTATTGAAACTACCTGATTGCTTTAGCAGGAGAAAATTCCTCCTTGACCTCTGTTCATCAGCAAATTAAAATGGGAGTATTCTCTGAAGCTTGTCAGGCTGATTACACATAATATTGTTACTGCTGAGGTGAGCCAGCTCTTTTGCAGTGATGTATACCTTGTAGTTGGAGTGGTAACAAAAAACCATAGGTGTTTCTGTATAAAATGTAATGGAGGAGATTTTATTTTCATTTCACTGACGATAGTGCTAATATTTACCAGGTATTCTAACAGAAGTTAGGTTTAATTCATATAGGTTCTTCCATTCAATGTGACAAGAAAAATTTTAATCACACCCTCCATGTAAATCATGCTAAATTCTGGAATATTCATAACCTTGGTTTATAGATTTTCACATAAAATCTATGATGAGTTTGACTACATGATAATAATCATATCAAATATCAATATAAGGGATAACCAGATAACTTATGATTGCTGTGTAGTGACTAGTAGGTAAGCAAAGCTGAGTCCTGCCATTGTCTCCTTACACTGAATTCATAGCATGTTGTCTTACAGTTGTCCTAAGAGGTACTTTTTCCCCCACTAGATCTGCAGTTTTTCCTTTCCTTTGGTGGATAAACATAATCCAAATGGTCTGAAACCACAGTTCTTTGAAATAAAGTTCATCTGCATATTGAAAGAAAAGAGAATAAAATATTTTACTGACAGTGGAGCTTTTTATCTGCCAGCTACAGAACATATTAAAAAGATTGTAGTTTTTATTTTACCATCATGGGAAAACTTTTAATTTTGGAGGGAGGGGAGTTTTTCTCCTCTTTTCTGTTTTAACTTTCCTCTAAGAGAGAACTTCTACTGTAAAGTTAAACATCTTATCTAGCCTTTTTGTTAAAGATCTTCACTGAAAGTGTTTGGTGCACATACCAGGCCAAAGCACCTCCATTCTTATTTTGCAACAGCAAGCAGAAATTGGAGATATTTTGTCTTTCATTAGAGATACAAACTCAAAGAACTCTTATACACTCTTATTTTACAACTCTCTATCAAAGCCAAATATAATTATTGCCAAAATTTCAGTATAATGTTAAGATTCTTAGCCTATGGTCTTGTGGTGAAGAAAGAGAAGTTTTATTCACTTTCATCTCTTCTAGGTATTCAAAGTATCGTTTAATACAGAATAGTTTCCTTTTTTCTTAAATCCATCCTGTTTTGGGAGCTGTCCTATTGCTAAAATAGGACTGATACTAGATAGCTTATTTAATTTGCTTTACTGAGTTCTTTGCTGAAATGTGTATTCAAAATCCACTAAAGAAGCATTAAGATTCCCGTTTTACTTACAGTTCTTGGATGTTAAGGTAGACAACAAAATGCTACCAATGTATTTCAGCACTGAGGTTCTTTTTTCCCCTTAGAACCAGAATTACAGCAAGGAGGGAAAAAACCAAGCAAAAAAACCCACAAAAAACAAAAATAACAACAAAAAAAACAAAACAAAACAAAACAAAACGAAAAGCAACTACTATGAAGTTGTAAAAGGAATGAATGTTTCAATTCACTGATTAGTCTTCCTCAAAATTATAACTTTAAATTAAAAAGTATATTGTTTTAGAGTTAGCGATAATGTTAGTGGTTTTTTTTTTTCTGAAATGGAGAATAAGAATTGGATCTGTATTTCATTCAACATAAAACAATATGCATTGAATTTATTTCATTTGGGGCTTTATAAGATACATTCCTAGTAAAAGTTAACTTTTTGAAAAGGACAGAACATTCTGATTTATGCATTAACTAATAATTAGATTTTATTCTGCTTAGCACATTTCTATTTGCCAGTTCTTTTTTATACCGTAAGGAGGTTTAAGTGAGGAGAAATTGTGGAATGAAATTAATTTTACAAAGATAAAATAGATCTGAATCATCTTCCCCTCAAATTCCTGGATATGACAAAACTTCATACTTTCGAAGTTTTGCTTGGTTTCTTGCATGGAATATTTTTTAAAACAAGAAAAATATTATTCTATGTACCATCACTTTTTTAAAATATATACTTTCTGTTTTCTGTTCCTCACAGACAACACACCATTTTCAATGTTTCAGTCTCATTTTATATATTCAGATGCAGCACATCATTTTGACATAGAAAACATCTATTTCTCTATGTTAAGAGAAATCTAGTTATATAGGTGAACTGGGGAACACACTCAGATTTGGAATCTATGGAGTGTTGAAATCAATTCAGTTTGGATGAATTAAGTTTGTTTTCAAATGCAATGAATAATGTTTTTAAGAAGATCTCATGGTTTTATTTTCTGTGTTAGACAGGGCTATGAAGAACTGGAAAGACAGCTGAAAGAAGTCTTTAAGGAAAGGAGCAATATCCTTCGTCAACTGTCGAAGACTTCAAAAGAACTTGAGGGAATTAAAGTAAACCTCCAGGTTAGGTTCTGTTTTGGGATCTGTAGGATAACATAACTTGACTTTTTCATATTTTATATGTTTATTTAAAAAAAAAAAAAAAAAAAAAAGTTGTGGGATTTTTTAAGATATGAATAGTTATTCTTTTTTTACTATTGTACCGAAGATAAATCTAATGTTTTTATGGAAAACATATAATTCCTAATAAGTTGGGCCCTCTGTCCCCTTACTGAAAAAAAATATGAAAATAGGTCTTAGTACAACAAAAATCTGAAAATAGTAGAGCAAGAATCTGAAAACATAAAAACAGATATTAGTGGAATTAAAAAAAAAATTTTAAAAAATAATTTAAAAAAAAATTAAACCTGGTTTAGGTTTGAGGTCCTGAAATGGCCAGATATTCACTTCAGAGCACACCCATCTTCTCCAGAAATAGTCTGCTGGTCTAGTGAAAACGTTTGGACTCATTATCACTTGAGATCTGTCTCTCTCTTTCATGCCATTTTAAAGGACAGTATTTTTTTTGACATTGCAATTATATCTTCATGTTGATATAAGTTAGAAGGAGAAAATGTTAGGAGTAGAATCCCCGTATCTGGTCACAGAGAAATATTGCGTTAGTAGTGTGCTATATCATATTATTATGTTGTGTTGGTTTATATGCTGGACTTCTGTGGTTCTAATTAAAATGGTATCTTGAATATTTTTTTTTTTTAAACCTTTACCACTCTTTATTATTATAGGACTTTTCTTATTACTTTTTAGAGAAATGTGCTTCTCCTTGTAACAAAGTTATTTTAGTATGGAATTTTTTATGGCACACAATTCAAGGCAGTATTCAGCAAAATTATGCTATGAGCTATCTTAGATTGAACACTGCAGAGATCCAGGTATAGGTAGAGAGCTGTAGTGTTATTTTCTGTGTATACACACTTATCTTTGTCATGCAATTTTAATGTTTTAATTTCTATCTACTTATTTTGTTTGATTAGCTCTCATGGAATATTTGGAAAACAACTGTGTACAGTTAGATGTGATGAGTTGCAGTAAAAGTCAGGCTATTCCTCTGTTTCTTACAAGTGGTAATATCTATAATTCACTGGGAGCATGTTATGTAAGAGTACCAAATTAATCATTTCACAGATGAATAATATTAAAGATCTCTGTGGTAATAGAATTCTTCCTTTGCTTTTAGTCTTTGAAAAATGATGAAGCATCAGCTAAAAATGATGTGCAGAAACTTCTGGAACTGGGCCAAAAGCAAAGGTAAGACCCCACTTAAACCCTTGTCTTTCCATTTCCAGACTGAAACCTGCCAGACTAGGAAATTCCATCTTTCCTTTTACCTTAATCTGTAACTAATACTGTATTCCAGAGTCTGCTGATTATAATAGTAAAATAAGGCCAGAGAACACTATTCTGGGAAGCTTTTGAAACAAGCTATTTGTTGATGTTTGACATATGTCAGGAAAAGGTATTAAAATGTTACCATGAGATATTTGTTAAGGAAAGGGATTTCTTGAATTTCTCAGGAGTGCTTAGTCATGAAACTTTCTTTTAAAAATCATAAACTGTACAGTTTTAGAAAATTAACGGTGGATGATAATGTCTAGTTAAATTATTAAATTATGCCAATCTCTGAGATTGGAGATGATGATATATATTTTCAGGCCTCTTAAGTAAATATTCACGCATGTAGACACTCAAAATCACTAGTCTGCACTAGTCAAAATCACTGCAAATGTAGGAATACTTTTGCTGGATTCTTGTGAGGAAGGCAGCTGGGAGGATGAGTTGAGCACTTAAGAAATAATGAGTTTCCATGGCTGGGAACTTGCATTCCCAGCCTGGCCCTTAGCCTCAAGTCCCCTAGTGCTTTATCACAAGCAACTCCTGTCATTCTACTTCTCTTGGAATTGACACCAGCAATAAGAAAATCAATATAGGTTTTAATAAAAGGAAAAAAAAGATAATATAGGGATCACTTTTATGAAATGGCGAGATGAAGTGATTAAAAGTTGTAATAGATTAGTAAATGGATCTTAGTTGTAGGTGGGAAAATGGAGTCTACTAAGGGAAAATTTTGCTACATGCTACAATTATTCTTCCTAATCTCCTTCTTAAATCACCCCCTTAGAGTCTCTCAAGGTGTACCCAAAAGTATCTGTTGACTTTTACTTCTGAGGGGTTTAGCTATTGAGTATACTGCACAACAGCAGTTCCCGGAGATAGACCCCGCATCCATGCACTATGCCCTCACCCTCCTTCAGAAAATAAAAAGCTTTTACAATATACTACAAGAAAATGCCTTGAAGATACTCTGGGTAGTTGACAGCTGTTTACAGGCTTACTGGATTTCACTTCCAGAGAGATGGGGAAGTTCGGTGTAAGAAGGAGGTATTAAAAATGTGCCAGGGAATAGCCCTCGTAAAATTTCACCAAGGGAGGGAAACAGTTTATTTGCCAAGAGCCTCAGGCTGCCATAGGTGAAGAGTGAACATAATGTTATGCTTAAATCTATTGTAGTCAAAACAAAATTCAAATTATATCCCAGTATTAATCTTATGATCTTCTTTCTCTGGACAAATGTGTCTTGGCTGTGTTTGATCTGCAAGCACTGCTTTGATTCTGTGCAACGATGGATGATATAGTAAAGTTTAGAGTGCTAGAATCTAAGCTTGTAGATGTAGTTATATGGACTATAAATTAGATTTTCTGGGGTTTTTAATCCCTTTTCAGTGAATTCTTAAGTACTTGCCAATTTGCAAGTAAAACTTAGTCACTTACTGTGATGCCTCAATCTTGGTCTTTCTGTGCACCGTAGGCACTTTGAAAGGCTCACATCTGTTTGTAGGGTAAGAAAGCTGTATTGTGCTGATGGTGCGTTGGTTTCATGCTGCTCAATCACCATTTCAATTAAATCTGTTCTGTACTAGTGTTGCCAAAATTGCTATAAGTTGTAGAGTTATAGGCTACCAAGAAAGATGGTCCAGCAGCTCACAAGTTCTGTTCTGATATGAACTAGATGATTTCCATTTCAGTTTAATTTTTATTGGGCTGAATTATTATCTGTGTGTTAACCCGTTTCTGTGCTGTTCTTCTGTGAAAGTTTCTCAATGCAAGCAACAGCCCTGGAAAAAACTCCTCAGCTGTTCTGAAATATGTCCCTCTTCTAATTGGCCACAGCTCCAAGGCATGTCATGTACCATGGGCAGAAAGAGGTGGCCAGCAGTGGGTCTCAGCAATTCTCCAACATGGAGAAACCCTCTTACTGCATCACTAATGCAAAGGGGTTTATTTATTTAAAGAGCAGTCCAAGCAATTATCCTCTTGTTTGGTTTTGTTTGTTTGGGGTTTTTGCTGGCATGCCAGAATCATCTACTGAGTTTTGTGTTGCTTGTCTCTGGAAAAAGCCAGGCGAAGGCTGATTTTTATCATAATTTATGTATTTATTTATGTCAAAGCAGGTGTAAACTCATTCTTACTGATCATAGTACGGCTCCATCCTGGTGCATTTTCAGTAGCCCACTTTCCTCACTTTTTTGGTGCCAATCCTTTTTGCTAGAAATTATACACTGACAGATGTTTTGCACAGCAGGCTATTCAGTAGATGGAAAAGGTGGCCAATTTCCATCATAGATAATTTTTATTTTGCGTTGGCACTATAGTTCATGGGATAATTATGATTTCATTAGCAAGACTCATAGACACAGTACATCTGCCTGTTACTCTGAATAATTAAAGACGCCTTTTCTTGAATCAGAAGAATTATTTCTAAATGGACAATTTTGATGAATTTTGTGTTCTGTGTTTTCAACAAACTAGAGAAGAAATGAAATCTCTCCAGGAGACTTTTCAAAAGCAGCTTAATGAGGCAGCTGAGAAAGCAGAAAAGCAGCAGGCTACGGTGAGTGATTCCTTGTCCCTCTTTCATAATCTTTGTTTGTATCCTCTGTCTTTGCTTTTAATCCTTCTGCCTTGAAAATTTGCCATTACCTCAAATAACTTTGCGTGTAAAAACCTGGATTTCAAGTATGTGTTAGTACTCTGCAAGCTTCAGAGGACTGACACTGAAAAAAGTTGGTATGTTCAAAAGCACTAAGATCCCTTTCTCTGCTAATTTCTGTGGGATTTAGGTGTGTGTATGCACTTTTGGAGTTTTGGGCCAGGAGACATGGGCCTCAGTCCTGTCCCTGATGAGGTTATCTTTATGTACTTCATGTCTCATCTATACCAGTGTACACTGTCGTACATCCACACACTTTTTTTTGGATCACCAGCAATTTTCAGCAACACAATAGGTAGTGAAGTGTTTAGTAGGGTAGTTTGACTACAGTAGATCTAATAATCACTATAGGAAGATATTAAACATCATTAAGATGTTATCCTTTAATGAAATTCTCTTCTGGTGAACCAGATGTGAGAGTGCATGCTTTGAAAACGTAATGTTTGAAAACAATTTTTTCCCCTTTGTTCCTCAGAACTCTGAAGGGTAAAGATGTTCTTTTGCTTATTCTTGTCTCCCCCACAATATCCTTAGCAGATTTCTAGTGCTTGTCATTTTCTTCAGAGAACAAGCCTCCCCTTTTTCTCTTGATGGGAGAAAAGTAGCAAACTGAATGCTGTATTGAACTTGAAAAGGATGAAATATTTTTGAGGTCTTTCTCAGCAGCCAGCACAGCATGCAACCAGGGGAAAAAAAAATAGAAAATCTGTACTTGTTTTAAGATGGTTTTGTACTGAGGCAAGATATATAGTCCTGAAAGAAGGAAAAAGGTTAGAACCTAGTTGTTTCTGCAAAGTATGTTCTTCTCAGAATGTGCTGGTCAAAAGACATGTTTTCATAGGTGGATGGACACATTTCCACTAGCTTTATCAGCACAATGAATTGTAGTCCTAGTAATTAAAGGTGGAAAACACATTTCGTTATTTAATCTCTGTATTAGATATTGATAGTCAAAACTAATTCAGCTGTGTGTTAAATAAATCTCAGATGCAGTGAAAGGATTATTGTCTCTCTTGTTTTGTGTGATACAGCGTAGTTTTTTTAACTTGAACAACCTTGTGTAAATTCTGTCCACACACTAGAACTTGGCAACAGCTCAGGATTTGTTCTACACAAGTCAGACAAATGCTACTGTTAAATACAAGCAAAAATATTACCTAGTACAGAAACCAGGAAAAACCCCTCTGAGTTTATACAAGAACTTGGCTTGGAGTTTTGTCAGCTGGCTAGAGAAACAAAATTCTTGAGCTGTGTTCTAAAACTTGCCAATAGTAGAATATTAACTTTGCCACTGTTTTTAAGGGAATCAGAACTGTGTCCTTGCTTTGTGACATTTATTTCTTTATGCCTCAAGGTACAATGTATGTACACAATGAAGCTCACCAATACAGTGAGACTGAATGAATATTCAAAATGTGCTTCAGGATCCTGAGATGAATGCTGCAATAGAAATGGAAATAATATTATTACTGTCACACAGGGTTACTTTTACACCTGGTTTCTCCATGTGTTTCATGTTTTTCTGAAAGCAATATGAACATTATGGAAAAAGGCCTAAGTTCTTTGAGGCAAGCCTAGCTAGAGGATGGGAGTTTGAATTTAATTCTGGTTTAATGAATTGTAAGTCTTGTTTCTAATCCAATTTAAGTACATTTTATTCTACAGGATTTGGTGAAGTAAATCTTGATTTTCATCAGAGTAAATAAGAATAGAATTACATTTCTCAAAGCCAAATGAATAAAACACAGGAGGGGCGGTTGGAAATGCATTTTTCTGCACTAGGCATAGTGCAATGCTCACTGTATGTTAATTGGCTGTATATATTCAACAGGGAGCACCTGTCTGAAAGTGTTCTTTCTTAGGTAAATGCAAAAGTGTAAGTATGAATTCACAAGAATTAAGTCAAGTTACATGAAAAACAACCTGGAAAATATTCAAGGACTCTGACTAAACCAAAAGAACAACGGAGATGCCACAGCAATATATTTCACTTTGCATCCATGTTTTGTGCTCTGGCAAGGCTCTTCATTATCAGTCACACAATTGGTTCATCAGAAACAATGTCTTCAAGGTCATTGTACATGCTTATCTGGTTGTTTTTTTTTTGTTTGTTTGTTTTTTTTTTTCCCTTTGGCTTTTTAAGACTAGAGTAGCCAAGAATGGTAGGCTGCTAAAAACTTGCAGTTCTAAGGATGTGATGAAGTGTTGGTGGGTCCAGCCTCCCATAGAGCAACCGGTGGAGCTGCTGCTCGGTAATAACAACTTTCTAAGGGTGCAAGCAGCAATTCAGGCTGGAGGAAACCTAAAGATGTGAAAACATTCCTGTCCTTCAGAGTACTGAGGGCTGACCTAGGGGCTCTTGGTAGGAGTGAGCACTCCCTTTCTGGGCTTCATTGCCTTCTGTATCTGTAGCACTAACATGAAGAACAGCAGCAGTCCATCTTAGGACAGGTCTTTTCTAGAAAATATGTGACAGACCTCAGATAAATTTATGCCTCCTGTTTCAGCTGCTCTATCTGGGATAGCAAAATGTATAGAGGAGTATTAATTATGATAAGGGTCGTTTAAATTTTAGAATAGTCCTATGGTGCAAAGTTTAAGGTCAAATACAAGCTTCCAGAAAGCCTTGGGTTGTGAGGGAGCTCCTCTACAGACCAAGTTACACTAGAACTCTTGATTATTGGTATATCAACAAGCATTTCTTAGATAAGACTTGTCAGAAGCACCATATTTGGTTTAGTTATACAACATATATATAAAATGTGTAAGACATAATTCCATATAACCTCTTGTCTTCTTCAACAATTGATAAAGGTTGAGAGGGCTTTTTATTTTGCATTTAATATCAGTTATCTAAGCAATTTATAATAGATTGCTGTGGAGTGAAAACAATTATTAATAATGTCAAGCTGTATCTCTAAATATGTAGTGGAGCCACTTCCAGAAACAGGAGTAGGGGCCACGGACTAATATTGACTTCTGTTAAGAAAAAAGCAGAGGGCAAAACAATACATGTGACTTGAAAGTGTTTTGTTTTTATTGAATTCAAATAAATATTGTAATCAGTGACTCTTTATCTCTGCATTACGTTAACAGGCTCCCAGAGCTTTTTAGAGAAGGGCTCTTCACTTGACTATTCTTTGTGCTAAATGCTTGTACCTTAGGAAATAATTACTTTTTTTCTTTAATTGACCTCAAAGTTTACAAAGTTGTTTCTCATGAACTGCAATTAAAGTTTATAAAAAGAGCTGGGTAGCTGTGGATGAGGGAGAAAACAAAGAATAAACCAGAAATTCTCAAAAATACTTTGGCTAATTGGAATAAGTTTACTCTGCCTTTTACACTTTGTGCCTGTTGATATTTTATATCACACTAGCAATTTTTAAAAAGCCATAGCAATGGAATTGTTGGATAATACAATTATAGTACCATCTGTCAAAATAAAGGGAGAAATATGTCTATGTATATCCCATTTTCCCAGTTGCTCAGTGTTCACCATGAAAAATGTGAATTTAGGTTACTCATATATATGACTTGTAAAAATGACCAATATGGTTATTTTGAAACCAGCAGGGTTTTTATTAGTAATAAAAGACTAAGAGAGTATGGGGAATTTAATTCAGAAATACCCACCATCACAAAAAAAAAAAAACAACCATCACAAATACATGCCTCCATTTTTTTCAATAAAAAGATCAGATATTCTTTTCACTTTGAAAATATCTATTTTAGTAACATCCCATGTGACACATCCTAAAGTCCTAAATGTCTTTTTGACAAAAATCTGTTTTATTAATTAAAATGTAACTTGCAGCTTAAAAGTTATGTTCATCTAAGAAATCCTAGTAGTTAAAAATTTATTTAGCTTCGCTTTTAAAAGTGTATAACACTTTGTAGAACACTTTTTTTTTCCAAAGGAAAGAATAGTTTATATGTTTTGGGTAACAGACTGACCAGTTCTCCCTGGTTTTTGGAGTCAGCTCTTACACTTTAATTTGAAAATTAGACCATGAATATTATGAAGTGTGTTAGAGTTTCCAGGTGTTGCCAGAATTGTTAGGTCTTAATGAATGTGTTCCTATTCCATCTAAATTGCTCGTGTCTTAGTCCTGAGCAGGCTACAAGGAGTCTGGAGGTCAGCAACTGAGCATACAGCTGAGCTCTGCCTGTGCGCTGATGATGTTACATTGGTATTCTTCCATCCTTCGTCTACAGTGAATAACTAACTATTGTCTGAATTAGATCCCTGCCATCTGCTAAAGCATTCTGTATTTCAATGGGGGAAAATTTAATTTGAACATTTCAAGGTCACAAACTGCTGTGAGTAAAGGCCACTGGATGGAAGCTGTTGCCTTTAATAAACGTAATGAGCTCTGAAACACACAAAGCTCTGAGTACCTTGGATGTCTGTCTCCAGGAGACAGCAGCAATGTCCTTGCTTAACATTGCAAAGTTCAGCCTTAGAACAATATATTTTCATTATCTATTTTCATAATTACAGCTAGATAGCAATTAAAGGCAGCCAACATGTGGAAAGAGGTGAATGTCAAACAAGAACAAAGAGTGGGTAGAAAGGAGGAAGAGATGTAGAAAGTTTGTTGGTTTCTGTTTTTCAGTTCCTGCGCCTTTTGATTTAGAGCTGGGTATAAATGTCCATGCTTGTTTATTATGATATCAGGATTTGGTGACTGGAAGTAGAATTTTTACATCTCTTCTGGAAAATAGTATTATGCTTTGTCCTTGGGAATGACTAAAAACATCATGCAAATGGTCTGATACAGGCTGATCTGCCTTAAAGCACAAAATTATAGACACAGATGCACTTAAATGGATAGATGGGGTTATCTCTATGTTAGCTGCAGGACTGCTACACAGCTCTCTATAGCTGTACTTTTATGGCTAAGTGGTTCTTTAGAGGTTTAATAGAAGAGCTTTAAAAATGTTGTTAGATGTGAAAGCAAAAATTAATAACTTTGTAATTAATATTATTATTATTTTTTTAAAAAAAGAAAGAGATGTAAAATTTTTTTGAAAACTATTCAGGTAAGCTAAACTAGTAAGTTTGCACTACTTCAGATGGTCTGTATCAGTGATATCAGATGCATATGTATGTGAATAGTAATTATCAAAAATTACTAGTTTAAGGGTGCTGGTTAAATTAACAGTACTGTGGTGTCTTAAACATCTTTCCCCTAGAAAATCCCAGCTGATGCTTACAAGCTATGTATAGAGAGCATACAACATAATTTTGGTATCCTATCTCTTTAAAGATTTCATATATATTCAAATTTAGAAGTGAAATGCTTTGAAGGAATATAAATATTGTTTTGAGAGTTAGGATTAAGAAAGGGAACACTCTTTTATGGATGTCAGTATATTTTTTTGGTCAGTATTTAATGGTAGCTGGCAAATCTTTTTGAAGAGCTGAAAACCCAAACCCACTGTGTGAATAGTTATTTTATATTTTTTCTCATCAATCCTGATCTCATCTTTTCGTTGTGCCCTTTGTTTTATGTTGTGCAAGTTCTTCATATTTATTATGCAGTATACATGGACTGAATTTTGGAATCTGTCGACAAGATTGCTGGGCAGGAGCTGAATATATTAATCTTCTGTTAAAACGTCACCCTCTGCAGTAGCTGGATGTGGAGTTACCATTCCCACAACCAAACCACTTAGACAAAATTTTGGAAGAAGATCTACTTATCCATGTAGGTTGGCATTAGTGTCATGGACCCCCTACCAATTCTCTCTTAAGTGAAGAGAGTATTCCATGACTTCTCTTTTGATGTAGACGAGGGTGATGTTAAATCTGGTGATGGTTTTTAAATTACTGACATCTGCCTGCTTGAGTGTGGACATGACGAAAGGAAGAGCTGTCATATCATGCAGATTCACTACCAGTTTCAATCTGCATGACATCCAAACCATTCATCTCTAGGTCAATGTCTCTATTAATCGAAATCTGTTTTCTTACAGGGGTTTTATTTTTCTTAACAAGGCTACTGCAATGTCAGAACAACTGTTGTTTCCCATGAACTTAGACTTCTCTAACAGTGGGGGAGAGAATGGGGCATGAGGCATTGGGTATATAGGGATATTTTGCTAATTAAGGTATCCAAGAGTATCCTCCTTCAAAATGAAAATAATGTGTTCTTTTAATCCCAGTTGTTATAATTACATCTTATTTTCTTCCATTATATTCCATAAGTCAGGAGGAAAGCTCAACCCTGAAAGAATTATATAGATTGTAAATACAATAATTTAAATTGTTTGATTAAATTAAATCTTAAAGCTAAAACTGGAATTTCTCTTTTCCAAGGCAAATCATTGAATTCAAATAGGAAGTGAAGACCACATTTGTATGTTTTCACATATAATACATTTCACAGAATCAAGGGATTTATCTCCTCTAGGACAGTACTGTATCATTCATAGCAAATAACTCTGTTAGAAACCTGCTATGATAGAGGTTGTGTACTTTGAGGCTAAAAATTTAAACTCAGTAAATATTCTTATAAAATCCTTAGTTCTCTGAAGATTGTTGGACTTCATTGTGAAAAATAAGTTCTATTTGTACCAATGCAAAGTAATCATATTTATGTACAGTGATTTTTCTTCTCTTGATTAAGAGTTTTCTAGTAAATATCATGCTAAATGTTCTTAAATTTATCAGCAGAAGCTATGGGTTTGTGTATTTGTTTTTTTAAGGTTTTATTTACTATTTTTTTTTAAAGCTGTGAGTCAAGTAAAAAAAATAATGTCAAACTGATGTTTAGGTACATTTGAACAACTCACACTCAGCACTTCTTCAAACTTGTAGATTAACTTCTTGAAGACTGAAATGGAAAGGAAGAGCAAAATGATCCGTGACCTGCAAAATGAGGTAAGAAGAATATTTGTTTGTCATCTCCATGTGGAGTTTACACTAAAAGAGATTATGGTTTGGCTTCATATTTAGAAGATATTTAGAGGTAGAGCAAAGATTAAACTAAAGATATTGGTGTAGATGGCAAGTAGAACACAGCAAGAAAATAAGACGAATTTCTGGTTTCCTAAGGCCTTCAGTGATGTGGGTTCCAGTTTAGCTCACCTGCTTCTCCTTGCTTCTCCATACATCCAAATCACATAGGATTTAACTAGAATTCAGATCTTCCTGGAACCATCCAAAAAGATCCATCTGATTTGTATTACTCATCTCTTCTGGGTCATGAAATTAAAAAGGGGAGGGGAAAAAATATTTTACCAAAGAGAAGAAAAAGATTAAATTGTTCTCTAGGGAAGTAGTGAATTCACATCTGGATGCTCTAAATGGAAGTACAAAACCTTCCAGTGCTTTCTGCAAATGTTTCAAACTTCATGTGGAAATAAAAAAGGATTCAATCTTCCAGAAGGAGTATAATAACAAAGACATAACTAGGAGAAAGAAACTATCATATGCAGCAGAGAGGAGACGTGGTGTAGGAAAAAAAAAAAAACGATAAAGATTTGGGCTTCTCGGTTTTCCAAATTGCATGAGGAGGGATAAAGGCCTGTGTCTTGCCGTCCCCCACACCTACCCAGTGCCCCTATCCCCAAGATACAAGGGTTGCATACACCTGCAGATGCCTACTTTGATTCAAGTACTTGACTGTGTTTGCATTCGGATGATGAATCTGCCCTTCTTTCATTACTACCCTTTCTGAACACATTCTCACCAATAAATACTGGAAAAGTCTGCACAACTCATCTGCTATTTTTTTGTTTCTAACTTAATCAAATTACCTGCTTGCAAGATGTTCTAAGAGTAGGAAAAGATTGTGGGCACTGTTTATTTTGCACAGAATAGCACTTGTGGCTAAAGAACCAATATGATCCTAGCATGCTGTAGAAAGCAGAAGCTCCAGCTTTCTCTTCTTAGCTCAGTCAACTAAACTTGCCATGAGACAAATTAGATTTGAGAGCATTGCTTAGTCCTTCTGTGCATCAGCTACTGTGTGGAAAAAGAACTAATAGCTATACCTGCTTAATGGGTTTCTTATGGCTAAACTTCTCCACTATGTTTGGCAGTACCCTGAAAGTCCACCCACCAATATAAATTTTTCTGGAATTTCAGTAACTGTTTTTGAGGGTTTCAATAAGATACGTACAGAGAGCTAATGAAAATGGATTTCCTTTCATAGCTACTTTTGGTCTTTCAAATATCACATTAACCCTCAGTTTGTATTGGCAAATTGTGACTTTCCCAATCTCAGGCTCTACTATGACTGTAAAAATAATTCCCTGTTTAGTTTTGCTCTTTCAGCACTGCCATTCCACTTTGTAATTTGGAGGTAGAAATAGATAACAGCCTCCCAGATGAATGCAGCAGCTGTGATGCAGTGTAGGAGGAGAGGGCATCATTGTACACAAAGGCAATTTTCAGGCTCTTCAAGGCTTTGGTAAAAAAACAGTTAACAAGGAAAATAGTCCCTGATGTGGGTGGAAAGAAAAAAAAAAAAAAACAGATTGAGCACATAGGGATTATGTGTCTGCAAGTCCTTTTTTAGAGGTCTCTAAGTGCTTCCTGCAGTACCACAGAAAAACTGTCAGAGTTCCAGCTGTAATATCATGTGCCTTGCGTTAATGTGGTCTAATGAAGGAGTGCTGTGTAAACAGATAAACTCTTATTTCGAGAAGTTTCTTATATCGACAAAGAAACCAAGAGGTTTTGGAAATTCAGAGAATATACTACTGAAAGGTAGTGAAATGCTATTAAACTTTGTCACATGGATGCTATAGTTATCTCACATTAGACTTAGAAATATGTGTAAAGAAAAGTTTGCTCTTATTTACACAGTTTAGTTATATGTGATTAGATAAGAAATGACTGTCTAGCTTGTCATACTATCTTTGAGCAAAGCGTTTTTTTGTCTCTGAGTACCTACATTAAGGTTCTGTTAATATCATTACAGATTTATAACAATGCTGTGTGTTTATAAAGTTGAATTGTGGTTTATATCAGGCAATATATTTCTTTGCTGTTTAGGCTGTGGCAGAACTTTGAAAAACAAGAATTACATAAAAGATGTATAGTAGTACGGGCAACACAAATTAAAGCAAGAGTGGGAAATGAATTTGACTGTAGCTCTCCGTAATATGTGTTCCTTTTGCTAAGAAACAGTTTTAAATAACTACCTTGTAAACAATACTTTTGCTCTATTCATGTATAAATTGTGGTTATAGCTTTAGTGTTGAGTAAATCACTCCAAAACAGAATTTCTCCAATCTCTCTGTGCTTAGCTACACTAATAAAAGGTAAAGTCACAGCAATTTGAAGTCTCACCTGATCTATTGGGAATTTGATGCCCTGCGGGGTGAATTCAATCAAATTGCATTGAATTATGCTGGGGGGAAAAAAGCAACACGAAATCTCCCTTAGTGAAGCAAAAGTGAAATTTTCAGGCTTTGAGACTGTGTGTGCTGATACTATTCTATAAAGGAAGACATTTTAGTTCTTCACTCTCTATACTCTGCAGATAAAACTAGCTTTTTTTTTTTTTTTCCCCCCCTAAGTATGAAAGTCCTCTGAAAATAAAATTGGGTAAAATCCTGTTCCCTCTTTGGGTACTGCATTGGTTCATACAATTCAGAAAACATCCACAAGTGTCTGAGGCAGGGATGCTGCCCAGGAACAGGTGAATGAGCAGGAGGAGTAAAGGAGCAGCATCAGCCACCGTAGTCTGCTCAAGGGTTTTGAATTCGATGTTGTTTCTTCATTGATTACACCTTCTTTGGACCACCATATTTTTGGATTCGTCTTTCATTCGTTACATTCAGATCCATGGTTTAAAGATTCAGAGCCATGAACTGCTAGAAAGTGAAAGAGATGTTCAAATAAGAATGTTTAGGTAAAATATATCCTGAACAAACAAGATTAAAAATTCATTATTTACGTATTAGGACACTCTTTTCATTCTGTGCTTAGTCACAATGTTTAGAAAACTGTCTGGATTTTGCTCAACTTCTTTGTCTGTTGTCTTTTCAATTAGCTGCAGTGTTGAAAATCACAGCAGTATTCTTTTGTGATCTTGCCGAAGTCATCCTGACATCTTTATTCAGTTTTCCCATGCTGCCCAGAACACTGTGAAATTTATTTCTGACACCCTCCTTCATTAAAATCAAAATTCAAAAATAGATCTGAATTCTTTATTTTGCTTACTCATCTCGTCTCAAATCTGTGTAATTAGGCTTTTTATCCCTGAAACTCAGTGTTTTTCAACTGTCTTTTGTGGCAAAGTATCACCTGCAGAGAAAAGAAAGAGTCATTTCCAATCTGTGCCTTCATTTCCTCTCATGGGAAATTGTTACTGGCAATTAGTACTCCTGGGTGCTGATGCTGTGTAATGTGCTCTAAGGTAAACGTCTGTAAACATTTCAAAGATCAGATTGTATAGATTTTTGGGATAAGAGATTTTTCCCCTATTTTTATACAAGTATAACCAATATGTCTGAAAATAATGGTTAAGAAGAGAAAGTCCTCGCGGTTCCTTCACTATGTCTTATTTCAAATAGGAGCTTATTTCAAATAGTAAAGTTTAAAAGAGCTGTCTTCTGTCCTTTGCACACACAACTCTCAATGACATCTGTTGCTGCTTCACCAGGTAAGGGGGAGCAGCATGAAACCTAATTAAAATCTTTGAACTTTGAACTTGTACAGAGAGTTTTGTGAACCTAAGTGTTATCCAAATTAGTGTTTTCTAGCATTACAGTACTCAAGGGCGAGGTGGCCCAGAGCCAGAATCCAAAGAACTTTAAGCATAGATGAAATTTTATAATTAATGTAAAAATTTCCCTAAAGCTAGTGTAAATTTCACCAAACAGGAAAAGTGCTTATTTTATTTATTTATGTTTTGCATACAAGTGGAAAAGCTTGATTTTAGTATGAAGTTGTTAAAATTACCTAGTGGAAAGACCACTTAAAAGGAAGTAACCATGGTGTATGTGGTTAAAAAAAAAAAAAGAAAGAAAAAAGTAAATGAATACTTCAAATTTTGAGTAGATAGTATTAATTTTTATCCTTATGTGAAATAGTAAAAAAAAAAAAGTAGTAATTAAGTGGGCCTGGTTCATAAAGAAAAAAAGTCAAGCTGCTGATTTCATCATTATAAATAATGCTATCAATTAATGATGTTTGTCACTTAGGATCAAAAAAGGGGGATGACCCTTGAGGAGCTCTGACTCATTCAAATTCAGTAACAGAGTATTCTTCAACTCTGAAAGCACCACACAGTATTGAACAACATAATTTATAAAGGTATCTGTGACATAAAAATACACTTGGCTTATTAATTTTAGAAGTCACTAGATATAGTTACATTGCACTTGGAATGCTCCTGTCCTGGGCTGGGAGATGAAACTATGAAAACTCAGACTACTGGGTTAGTTTGCAGGGACCTGGCTTTCTTAGTTATAAATAGATTTCCATGAAAGTGAATAAGAATTTAGAGAAAAAAAGACTGGTGAAATCCAAATATTATGGTACACCATAGAAAACTTCCATTGATTTTGAGGGAGAAGGCTTAGAGTGTTTGCATTTTCTTTAGTATCATATGCTGTTGACTACAGATGCTTATTTTCTAAGTTCAGTGGGAGGAGAAAGTGATTTTTTTTTAATGTATTTTGTTATTCAGAAATGTAAATTAAACAAGACTGCTGTTGTTTTGTACTTTTAAATTTTAATCAAGAAGAGGTGTAGCTGGAAAATGTCAGATTTTCGTGGTGAAGTATTTTTCAGTGACGGTTGATAGCCTGTGACTTTATGAAGATTATATTCCTCTCCTGAGACTCATTATCCTTTAGTTTAATTGAATCAAACTAAATACAATATTTGGCATGATAATTTTAATTATGTATGGATATTCAGAG